TCCGAGGGCGAGCCCATTCGCAAGTAGGGGTCGATGGGGACTTGGGGTTGTTGGGGGCGGCGGTCGGGGTGGCGAAGTTCGGCCAGGGTGGCTGGCGTGAGGGGAGCCAGCGGGGACGCGGTGAGGGCGGCACTGGCGGCAGACAGCTCGCCTTGTTGGACCAGGGTCATGGCCCGTTGGGCTCGCGCGCTGTCCGTGGGTGAGTTGGGGGAGGGGGTCGGGTGTGTGCGGCGTGGGGCGGGTGAGGACTCGTGGAGGAGTTGGAGCCACTCGCCGGTTCGGAAGAGGGCCGCCCGCCGGTCAAGTTCCTCAGGGGTGGCAAGAGTTTGGTGGGTGGGGCGGTGCAGGAGGAGGCGTGGAGCGAGTAGGAACAGTTTCCACCCGCGTTCGGTGTCGACAGGGTTGGATGTGGGGGAGTTGATGGCGTCAAGCGCCATGCGAAGGGCGTGTTTATAAGTTGGCAGGAGCCGCCGGGGGACTGATTGGAAGGTGGGGGTGCAGATGCGGAGCGTGGCGCACAGATCAACAGCGTCAAGACAAGATAGGCCTGTGGGTGGTGCAGGTCTGGGGGCCTGGGTAGGTGCGTCGATCTCAGTATCGGTCATGGGGAGGGGTGGGGGGGAAGCAGGGCGATTGCCACGGCCGCGTCCGCGGCCGCGGGTGCTTCGGCAGGTCGGTGGGGGTGGGGGGGATGGAAGGTGAGGGGATGGCGGTGGTGAAGGCGGGTGCGGGTGCGGGGTCGGGGGTGGGCGGCGCGCGGAAGAGGTTGGCTTGGCGGTCGAGTGCAGCGGCGAAGGGTAGCCCGCCATAAAGTTGCAAGCAGGTTTCTTGGGAAGCCGCCGGGATGTACCCGTCCGCGTCCGCCAGGATTTGGAGAAGCCACCGCAGGTAAGCATGGGCTCCGGCGGGAAAGGGTCCGGCGGCGGTGAGCCGGGCAAGTTGTTCGGCGGCTCCGGCGGACGGGGTAAGGTTGAGTGCCGTGCGGAAAGCTTCCAAATCGACTGGGGGGGCGTCGGCGAGGGTGTCACGGGCTAGGGTCCACCACTCGCCGCACTGGGTTTGCCAGGCTTGTGCGGCAGCTTGGGTTTGGAGGCCGGCCGCGGCCCAGAGGAGGGGGACGTAGAGCCAGGAGTTTGTGCTGGCGGTGATTGGCGCGGTGGGTGGCGCGCGGTCGCGCCAAGCGGGGCGGGTGGGTGGTGGGGTGGGGCCGGGGGTCTCCGCTTCGGAGTCGCGGAACGGGTTCACACCAACAGTGCCGCACAAGCGTGACAGTGTGTCGTCATGTTCCGGGCCCTCAGGCCACGGGGACCTGCATTGAGCACAGCGGGGGGGCTGTACTTGTGCTCTGAGCCTTGCTAAGCATGAGAAATGGTAGCAGTGGCCGCAGGTAGGCCAGGCGATGGGTCGCCGGCGTCGGGGGCAAGCAGGGGCAAAGGGCTCTAAGCAAACTGCGCAGGGGCCTGGGGGAGGTGCGGGGGCCTCGTCGGAATCGCTAAGCAGGATGGTGTCTGCGAACGTGTGTTGGGTGGGGTGGGGTTCGGGGGCAGGGGGTGGTGGGGAAGGGGGGCCGGGGTTGGCAGCTTCGCCGACCCGGTGTGCGCGAAGCGGCCACCCGGACCATCGTGGGCTGGCGCAGTTGCTGCCTGGGAGCTGGCGGGTAAGTTGGGGGGGGCGGTGGCCGTGGCGGTGGGGGCGGCAGGGGCGGGGGGCAGGCGGGTTGGTGCCGGGCCCCGGGTGCGGGGGTCGGGGGGAGGGACTGGGTGCCAGACGTCATTGAGGATGGAGGTGAGCGGCGCTGGCGGCTGGTGCGGACGGTTTGAGGGGACGAGGACCTCCACTGACGAAGTCGCGGGGGGCCGCTTCGTGGGGTTTTTTTAAAGCGGGGTGCCCAGAAAGGGTGGCCTGCACACAGCAGGGTGACTGCCGAGGACCGCGTAGCAAAGGAGACGGGTGATGATGAATGAAAATGAATACAACTGCGGTTGGGATGGGGGCGCGGAAGTGGGCAGTGGCGACATGTGCGGGGTCCACCGGTGGGGGGGCTGTTGGGGGGGTGGTAAAGGGTGGGTTCAGCCGCCAAGGGGGCAGGTTGGGGAATGGGGCTTCCGAGGGGAGACGAAAGGGTACGGGGCGGGCGCGCCTTTAAAGGGGGCGGCGCGCGCCAAGCTTGGGATGGGGCCCGGGAAGCTTGAAAGTGATGGGCACTCGGGCCGCGAGCCGGGGGGGGGATCACCGCAGGGGGTGGTTTGGGTGAAGGGGGCACGGGGGGGGGTGTTTGGAGGTGAAAAGGGGTTTCAGCCGGGTGGGAATGGAGCTTCGGGGGGGACAACGAAAGGGTACGGGGCGGGCTCGCCGTAGAAGGGGGGGGGCGGCGCGCCTCGCTTGGGATTGGGGCCCGAGGCAGCCTTGAAAGTGATGGCGCACTCGGGGCCGCGAGCCGGGGGGGGGTCACCGCAGGGGGTTGTGGGTGAAGGGGGCAGGGGAGGGGTTGGCTTGAGCCCCTGAGCGAGAATGGCCTGAGCCAAAATGGCTTGAGCCAAAATGGCTTGAGCCAAAATGGCTTGAGCCAAAATGGAGAAGATCTGCTCATCTTCACATCTGCTCATCTTCACATCTGCTCATCTTCACATCTGCTCATCTTCACATCTTCTCTCACATCTTCTCTCACATCTGCTCATCTTCACATCTGCTCATTCTCTCACATCTTCTCTCATCTGCTCATCTTCACATCTTCTCTCACATCTTCTCTCACATCTGCTCATCTTCACATCTGCTCATCTTCACATCTTCTCTCACATCTGCTCATCTTCACATCTGCTCCTCTTCACATCTGCTCAACTTCACACCTTCTCTCACATCTTCTCACCTTCACATCTTCTCTCCTTTCTCTCTCCTTTTTCTCTCTCACGCCTTCTTTTTATCTCTCTCTCTTAAGGCCGAGGGTGGTGCCGGCGGTGAGTCACGAAACGTCAACCCTTTCGCACGAAATGAGGGTCGACCGGCAAAAACTGAGGAAAAATTGCGATTTGACTTGTCCTGGTCCTGGAGCAACCCTTTCGCACGAAATGAGGGTCGATCGTCAAAAACTGGGGAAAAATTGCGAGTTTACTTGTCCCCGAGCAACCCTTTCGCACGAAATGAGGGTCGATCGTCAAAAACTGAGGAAAAATTGCGAGTTTACTTGTCCTGGAGCAACCCTTTCGCACGAAATGAGGGTCGATCGTCAAAAACTGAGGAAAAATTGCGAGTTTACTTGTCCCGGAGCAACTCTTTCGCACGAAATGAGGGTCGATCGTCAAAAACTGAGGAAAAATTGCGAGTTTATTTGTCCTGGAGCACCCCTTTCGCACGAAATGAGGGTCGATCGTCAAAAACTGAGGAAAAATTACGAGTTTACTTGTCCTGGAGCAACCCTTTCGCACGAAATGAGGGTCGATCGTCAAAAACTGAGGAAAAATTACGAGTTTACTTGTCCTGGAGCAACCCTTTCGCACGAAATGAGGGTCGATCGTCAAAAACTGAGGAAAAATTGCGAGTTTACTTGTCCTGGAGCAACCCTTTCGCACGAAATGAGGGTCGATCGTCAAAAAGCGTCTGTGATGCAACGCGTCTGTGGGTAAAAGGTCTGTGGTAAAAGGTCGCTGTGTGTTAAACGACGTGTGCAAAAGGTCGTGTGTAAAAGCGTTTGTGTGTAAAAGTGTCTGTGTGTAAAAGCGTCTGTGTGTAAAAGCGTCTGTGTGTAAAAGCGTCTGTGTAAAAAACCTATGTGTAAAAAGCGTTTGTGTGTAAAAGCGTCTGTGTGTAAAAGTGCTGTGTGTAAAAGACTGTGTGCAAAAGCGTCTGTGTGTAAAAGCGTCTGTGTGTCAAAGCGTCTGTGTGTAAAAGCGTCTGTGTGTAAAAGCGTCTGTGTGTAAAAGTGTTTGTGTGTAAAAGTGTTTGTGTGTAAAAGCCTCTGTGTGTAAAAGCGTCTGTGTGTCAAAGCGTCTTTGTGTAAAAGCGTCTGTGTGTAAAAGCGTCTGTGTGTAAAAGACTGTGTGCAAAAGCGTCTGTGTGTAAAAGCGTCTGTGTGTCAAAGCGTCTGTGTGTAAAAGCGTCTGTGTGTAAAAGCGTCTGTGTGTAAAAGCGTCTGTGTGTAAAAGCGTCTGTGTGTAAAAGGCTCTGTGTGTAAAAGCGTCTGTGTGTAAAAGCGTCTGTGTGTAAAAGAGCCTATGTGTAAAAAGCGTTTGTGTGTAAAAGTCTCTGTCTGTAAAAGCGTCTGTGTGTAAAAGCGTCTGTGTGTAAAAGCTTCTGTGTGTAAAAGCTTCTGTGTGCAAAAGCTTCTGTGTGTAAAACGTGTCTGTGTGTAAAAGCGTCTGTGTGTAAAAGCGTCTGTGTGTAAAAGCGTCTGTGTGTAAAAGCGTCTGTGTGTAAAAGAACCTATGTGTAAAAAGTGTTTGTGTGTAAAAGCGTCTGTGTGTAAAAGCGTCTGTGTGTAAAAGCGTCTGTGTGTAAAAGCGTCTGTGTGTAAAAGAGTCTGTGTGTAAAAGCGTCTGTGTGTAAAAGCGTCTGTGTGTAAAAAAGCGTCTGTGTGTAAAAGCGTTTCCTGTGTGTTAAAGTGTCTGTGTGTAAAAGTGTTGGTGTGTAAAAGTCTCTGTGTGTAAAAAGCCTCTGTGTGTGTTCTGTTGTAAAAGCGTCTGTGTGTAAAAGTCTCTGTGTGCAAAAGCGTCTGTCTGTAAAAAGTTCTGTGTATGAAAAACTTTACAAAAATACGATGCAAACTATTGTCTTGTACTAGTCATATATTGTCTTGATACTACTCTTCTCGTCTGCCTATAATACATCTTTAATATATTATCTTGTAATATAGTGTCTCCATACTAACAACAGAAGACTCTGCTCCTCTACGCTCTCGGGCCATCCGTCGTCTAGTATATATATATATAATTTTATTATTTTGATGTATTTGAAATATATATATATATAATTTAATAAATATTTTGGTAGGATAAATATGGATAAATTATTTTTTGAGATTCCAGGTAAATTGTTCATTGAGAGTCACGAGCCATCGAGTCCAATCGCAGCCCAACTCAAATAGTCTGAGGATTTGGGCATCCTTGTCCTCGAGAATCCAGATGGACCGTCGGCCATGCGTGCAAACACAGGCAAGCGATCGTCATCTGCCCTTATCGGCAGCTGTTCTCCTTCTCCAAACACCATGTGCCACCAGTTCGCTACTGCAGTTTCCAAGTGAGAGGCACAACTAGGCGATGGCTGTTCAAAAGCCTGGATCAGTGATTGGACCCGCTCCAGTGACTCCAGCAACCTTGCAGAACTGATCAGAAAGCGAGGCCCCTCATATCCAAGTGGATAATTGTGAATCTTCAGCACTTGTGCTTGGATGAGGCTTTTCTGACATTCATTCAAGGCGATGGGTGGAGATCTTGTGGATCCCAAGGCCATGAAATCAACGGACAACGTTTTGCTGGCTAGGCTTTTGAACACCAAGCTGTAGAACTGTTGTTCCGCTTCTGGGGGAGCTGCAGGCAGAAACAGCAAAAACTTCGGCACAGCCAGACTGCCATCACCGTAGCCCAGCAAGTGGCTTAGCACAGTCTGCGCTTGACAGTCGGAGTTTGATTTTGGTCGCCCTGGGACGCCTTCAAGTGCCTTCCACTGCACCTTGCCAAATAGCGCATCTTCGAACTCCCTTAGGCCCTCTTCTCGTCCACAAGTCTCATATAAATAAAGGACTGCCTCGATGCCTTGCTGTGGATCCATCTCTTCAACAAAAGGAACCAACCACTCCAAGCTCTCAGAACATCGGCACAGGGCAACGTGAATTTCGGACGAGGGCGTCGCTTTCGCCACTGCGTCCAGTGTCAGGAAGGTTTCCTGTGACCATCAAACAGAAAACATGCCGGAACATCCATGTTTTAACTTCCACTCTCGAAGCCATGCTAAAGAGCATGATATGTCACACTGTTGAAGTCAAACTCGATTAGTGATACAAGTATGTTCTGTCTAGAGTAAAGCCTAAAACCTGGCGTTCCAAACTCGGGGCGAGTATTTCCCACCCATCTAGTGCAACGAGCGATGTCAAAACAATTCAAAACACGCAGCCAGTTTTAGGACATGTTCCTATCTTGGCCCAAGTGTGAACACCACTTCCACCTCAGCCCTGTGATATATCTGACATATCCAGAATGATCCAACATGATCCAACCCTATCATTTTTTCTCCTGAAAGCGTTGCGATGCCAGCTCCAAGGGCCAGGTTTTAGTCAAGGCGTTCAGGACCTCCATCTGCACCTGCCGCGTTTGCTCCAGCGCTTGCGCCATCAGCAGCGCCGACTCCCCCGTCCTGGACGCGCCATCCAGGAACAGCAGAGCCTCTGCGTAGAGGACGTTGGCCTTGGATCCAATGGGATTTAATAGACGAAGAATGGGAAGGTGGGAGGTCCAAAATTAAAGGCCCTGAAGACCGCTAATGTTTGGTGATTCATGACGCTTTGTAGTGGGAATCGCTAGATAATTTGCATAAAAATTAGACGTGGTTCATGAAAACACGGACCAGGATGCTGACGCATGGATACACGTCATTACACACCATAAAACTTGTCACAACTACGTAGCAATCTCATTCAGTTTATTTCATCAAGGACTTGGCTGCAGGTCGAAAGGGAGCAGCAAGCGAAAATGTCATCATTCAGAGCCAGGACATAATTGCCTGCTTGCCTTGCGATCTTGATGCCAATTTTTTCGAATTCACACCCGTACTAATTACCATTGTTCTTGAATGGTTTCTACTTCAACCAACTCTTTGACCCCACTTGAAACAACATAAAAAGTCACGAATACAATTCCAAGCCGCCAGAATTTGCATGGGTGGGCATTCTGAAAGCGTACGTGACTGGAAGTTCTCAGACGATGATAGGAGCCACATCGCTTCTTCCAGGGGCGGACGGCCTCCTGGTCGACAGTGGCAATGCTGGTAGCGCGCAGACAACATATACCAAGTACCTCCAACCACAGGTATCATGTGGTTGGGGCAATCTTAGTAGCTCCTTGGCTCCCCATTCAATGGGGAATATAGGTACCCGTGGCTCTTTAGCCCCCCCATAACCACACGATAGCCTGCATAGCTAATATTTCAGAATGTTTCAATATACACCCGCACAGGGCGTCAACAATTCAACCGCCACATGACCCTTCCTATCATTTCTCTGCGCGCTCTATAATTACAGTTCACAACTTCTATGATTGATTAGCTGCGTTTTGATTTGCCAAATTCATCTGTGCATCGTGGATGAACCCAACTTTCTCCATCTCTTGCAGCACTGCACCCAGTATTTGTAAACAGCCTGGAACAAATCCACAAACAGCTGTCCTTCCACGTAGTGCTTCAGCACCAGTCGTTGGAAGTCCGAACCAGTCAATCGGAAATCCTGATTGCACCGCCCAGCCTGGAACAATCATGAATTGAGGCCTGACATGGCCTGACATACGGTATCAAACGCGCGAAATTGAGGCCTTCCCCGTTGCAAATTCCACAGATTTCCGTGTGAAAGGCGACTCATGCGACTCCCACCTCCATCTCCCTCTGGGCAGCTTCAGGGCCCAAACTGGTATCGCAAATAACATATCCAACCTTGTAGGTGAAGTAGCACCTGGAGGTCAGAATGGTCAGAATGGTCAGAGGTCAATTTTCTAGGCCTTCCAAACAGGCCTAAAATGCCCAAGACATTGGTCAATGACATCCAAGGTACAATCCAATGGTCACTGTAGCAGCCGGAGTTCACCCCAACTTCCCAATTCTGGGGTGCCCCGGGCTGTCAAGGCGCGCATTGGCCAACTCATTCTTGTCTGGGAGGTTGCGGGACGCTGCACACAGCAGGCTGGCACATCCCAGGTACCACTTCATGGCCACAGGGTGCCATTTTTCTACGCATCGACCTCCCTAGAAAGAATCAATTTCATTCATATTGCAGTAGATACAATTTCACTGGCAAAAAACTGGCAGCTGCGTGTCTTTGGATTCTGATTTTTGACCCAGACTGTGACCGAATCGAATTGTCTTGACAGCGTGATAGCAGGTCCCAATCTTCCTAGCTTAACATTAGAGGCATTATATAATGCGGCATAGGTGCTTTCTAGCCTGCAATTCCTGAAAAGTGGTTGGTTGGCCTGCGCAGCATTCAGGTCAAAATAACGGTACGGACCAGTCGCACTGGGCTAGATCCTGTAGCAGCTGCTGCCTGCATTGCAGAAATAGCATATGGCTCCCATGCCTTTCTTAAGCACTTGGAGCCACGTTGGCAGTTGCGAAGAAGTGGAGTTGTTGGACAATTGACTGTGTAGCTGTGTAGCTCTGGAATTGAACATGGAGAGCAGCAAAGCTTGGTGACTTTTGCTTGAGATGTAGCCTTTCCAAATTAAGTTTGACCGCAGTAAAACTGGAACTGGCCAACATGATCAACATGGGTATAGGCGCCATGTTTGCACAATCATCACAATCTGTTCCGAAATTGCCGCTGCCAATTTCCGCTGTTCGCTGCAAGTTCCGTGGCACATCCCTTTGAATGTCTCGTAGGAGTCCAGCCGCGCGGGCGACAGGACCACCAAACCTGCCGACGCAGCAAGAGGTCTGAGATGCAACCAGAGCTTTGCTGAGTGACATTATTCCTAATGTGTCCTCCATAAGTACATAATATATCATAATATTACATGTTATTACTCCCTTCAGTGCATATAAGCGCATATACCTGCTGTTTCATAGCCATTTCAATTGATGTTTAAGCCACCCAATACGGGGAGGATGGGGAGGTGCGCCTCTCAAATGAGTCAACGGCAGCGCCGACGGTGGTGGCCTGCCGGGTGGGGTACCAGCAGATTTTGTTGGTTCTATAGTCATGTAATGTCATGTAATGCCATGTAAAATGTGAAAATGTATATGTATGATTATGTATGCCTGTACGTATATGTATGATTATATGCTTATCTATTGGTCTATCTGTTTACGTACAGTTCGAAGGTTTACTCACATCAACTCTCTGGTAAAGCCACATGTTTTCCATGCGGAGAAGTCGTATAGTCACACGCCGAAACCAAGCAACGCAATAGCAGTGCTTGCAGAACCCTCGCCAGGAGGATTCCACAACTGCTCGTGCTGTACATACTTAACGTAGATAATTCCAAAAAACATCAAAAAACATCATTATCATGTTTATTCTTACTATTACTATTAGATACTCTTAGCATTAATTGGTACTGTACACCATAATAATCACATATAATCACAATGCACTGACATCTTATGTCCCCAATGTTTGGTCGACATTCGGCTCGTCTCGTTGGAAGCCCATCGAGCCTCCGGTCCCAGGAGCCGTTCCCCGCATTGCTGGGCTTCGTAGAGAAATCTTGAGGCACCAGCCTGAGCACGTTGAATCACCCATCCCAAATGATAATGATGACTAGTGGGGATATGATATGACATGGTATGATATGATATGATAGGGAGGGTAGGGCAAAAGAATAGCAATGCCATGCAGTCTTCAATGAGGCACACTGACTACAACAACTAAATAACTTTACAGGCGAATAACAAATATATATATATTACAGTATATAATACACCATATAATGTTTTCGTCGGGTCTGGGGATTCATCTCAAGCTGGAATGGAACAGGAGCGGGTCTGAAAATGTCTAAAACCAAACAGTTATGTTCACAATCAACCTGGATTTGTTCTTGGCTGCCAACGCTCACTGGGTTTCACGCCCAATGCCCTTGTCGTTCAAGCGCACCAGCAACAGAATTGAGGGAAATAGCATCCGGCCGCAAGTCACACCTCGTGCGGACAGGTTTGGTTGCAAAATAACACAGCAATGATCTAATTACTTCTCAAAACAGTCAATACATGTGACAAGTCTATCAAAGTAGTGGATATCAGTGGGTATAGCATCCTCAAATCTGCAGACTTCCACTGTTTCTTGTTCTCAAAATGCTGATGCAAATGGAACCTGGCAAAGTTATTGGCAATGCCCAGAACTTCTCGCCATTGCTTGCAGCTTGCACAGGCGCTCAAGGCTGAGTTGAAACCTTAGCAGGCAAGGCTGAGTGGCAATACTTCTTCCAATGGCCCGCGGATGTTATGGTCGCACTGTCGGCGATGGTGCTGTTGTTACTTTCATCGCAATGTCGTTACAACAGTGGTAGCGGTGGTAAGGACGACAGTGGTAAGGGCACATAACCACCAACTGAATCATTAAGTTCAATATAAACAAAACGTCCCTAGAGGCTTGCGGCATAGAACAGATTGTTAGCATTTGTCTGCACTTTAAAACATGCCATGGTCGAAACAATGTTCAAACCTCGCACATGTGAAACGCCAACCCACTTAAAAAATCTTTAAAAGAAAAGGTCGCACATCACAATTCCTAGTTAATTATTTCGTTTGTCCGTTAGGTGGCCAATCTCGTCAATGGTTCACGTTTTTTTCATACACCTGGCCGGATGCGTCCCAGTTACTGACCACCGTCGCTTGCTCTGTGTGGCTGGGCCCAACCAAGGATTCCAGCAAATGTGCTGCGAACTGCCAGCGGTTTCCTGCAGGAGCCGTTGGTTAAAAAAAATAAAAACAACACCAATCATCATTGGTCATTGGTCAAAAAATACAACCAAAATCATGGTCAACATGCAGTTCCTGATACTTCCCTTTGCAAACATTGCCCGTCCTAAGGGGGACCCAAAAAATACAAAAGGTGATGTTTCGAGTGGGCGACAAACATGCCATCGTGATGGGATGACTCCTCGACCACCTGCTGCAATTCCAGCGTTGATGCTGATGACGGTGGATGGGAATGGGCTGAAGTTGAAGACTTCCAGGGCAGTCTCCCAATGCCCAGATTCTTCGCAGGCCTCACGAGCAAACTTTGTATCAGTGTATGTTCGCATGTATGCAAAAAGCAAACATAAACTACCCGGCGGGTGGGAAACCGCGCTAGCAGTTGAACACTTTTTGAAAAGAAACTCTTCTGGCGCTGTGGCGCCGTACACATTTTATGATGAACATTAGCTTAAATTTTCCCAGGGAAAATTGAATGACTTTGAAGGAATGTCGTGGTATTTACAGGGTTTTGTGGTTGTGGCGGCCTGGAAGCCTTTTCCTTGTTCTTCGCTGGCGTGTCACTTCTCCAAGCGTTTGCTCAGAGCGCGGCCGGTGAGACTGAGGAAGTCAGTGGAATTTCCATGGTGCCATCGCCATTGCCAAATCCTTATTCCTTGAAGCAATTGAGGGTTCACAGCACCATCTTTACGTGTGCTCCAAGAGGATGATACTGCACCTCTGGAAATTTTCCACATTCCATCGATGCCACCGGTGTGCACTAGCAAGTTTCCCCATTCCTTTTTCTTGGTGATGCAGAAAATGCCCTTACTATGATTGCAAGTTTCATGAAGCAGATTGTGTTCAGAGGTCAGTTTAGGGTAGCAGCAGCGCAGCATCCACGTATGTACGCAAGGTACATGAACGTTAATATCCCACCCCACCCCACCCAACCCCTGACCAGTGACGTAGCAGCAGCGTAGCATCCACGTATGTACGCAAGATACATGAACGTTAATATCCCACCCCACCCCTGACCAGTGACGTAGCAGCAGCGCAGCATCCACGTATGTACGCAAGGTACATGAACGTTAATATCCCACCCCACCCCGCCCAACCCCTGACCAGTGACGTAGCAGCAGCGCAGCATCCACGTATGTACGCAAGGTACATGAACGTTAATATCCCACCCCACCCCACCCAACCCCTGACCAGTGACGTAGCAGCAGCGTAGCATCCACGTATGTACGCAAGGTACATGAACGTTAATATCCCACCCCACCCCACCACACCCCTGACCAGTGACGTAGCAGCAGCGTAGCATCCACGGATGTACGCAAGGTCCATGAACGTTAATATCCCACCCCACCCCACCCAACCCCTGACCAGTGACGTAGCAGCAGCGTAGCATCCGCGTATGTACGCAAGGTACAGACGTTAATATCCACCCCACCACCACCCAAAACCCTGACCAGCAGTGACGTACAGCAGCGTAGGAATCAATAGGATCGTTACGGAAAATTCCCTGTAGACTTGAGGAACGTTAAATCCCACCCCACCACCACCCAACCCGAAAAGTGACGTTATGCAGCAGCGTAGCAGTCCACGTTAGTACGCAAGGTTACATGACGTTATACCCACCCACCACACACAACCCATGACCAGGACGTAGCAAGACAGAGAGAATCCACGTATGTACGCATAGGTGGTAATGAACGATTAATATTCCCACACACCCCACCAAACCACATAGTCAAAACACGTAGCACGTCGAACGCGCGGGTTTCCAACCGATTAGGCAAGAAACAGAAATAAACTAATCAATACTAATTACTCACAATAACCAGAAGAAGAAATAAAACACTAATATACAAGTCATTTATTCATTGCAGTCATTCATTCGTTTCTTCATTCATTCATTCGTTCATTCATTCCGTTCCATTCCATTCCATTTCATTTCATTCATGTATCTGTGTGTGCTTGTTCGTTTTCCAAATCTATATTTAAATCTCGCACGCAATTGAGCTGGACGTAAGAAAGTGTTCCTCTTGGGGCGTGCCCCGGATTCTGACCTTCGATGGGCCAAACTCACATAGCAAGGGAAATGTTGACGCTGCGCCACGGGGGATGTGAATTTAAGATGTTTAAGTATGGTGCTTCCAGAAGGAATTAGATATAGCGACATGGTCAATCC